TCCCTGCTACTTTATTGAACCTAAATACTCACAGCTGAGTGCAAAGAGTTTTAAACTGTACCACACACTTGTGTGTTCTTTGTGTGGGAAGGTGGGAAAATTGTGCTAAGGAGCAAGCAATATTTACAGCTCTGAAATTATTATTATCTAAACAGCTTTGTATATGTTTCACCCTGGACAGGTCACTAGCGTACCACAAGGCACAACATAACAGAAACAACCATTCACATCTATAGTCATTTTAGAGTCTTCACTTAACCTTACCCTCACCTTCATGTCTGTAGACGTTGGGAGGAAGCTGGAGTACCTGGAGAAAAACCACCCAAACACTGGGAGAACAGAAAGACGCCTGGTGAATTTGAACCCAGAATTCTCTTGCAACGGTGCTACCCACTACCACCGTGTCCTTCCATAGGTTATACTGCTTATCCTTTGAGGGTCGAGAGGGGGTTTTCAAAAACATGGGCCATAACACCAGGGGCACAATCAGGATCAGGACCTCCTCTGCGTGCCATCAGTGCTGGATATTACACACTGTTCAAAACATTTCTAGAATCTGTATCCTCCACTCAGTTGCAGTCCTGATTGAACACTGAAGAAACTCCTGGATAGAGAGAGTTGTCTAGAGGGCACAATCAAAGTGTACAGTCCTGTCCCTTCATCAGTCTACTGCAGGATTTCATAACGCTGTATCTGAAATCTTAAAGGCTGCAGCAGAACTCTTTATGATTCAGTTCCAAGCCTGTAGCTCTCAGCGAGACACAGAGGGTCAGAGACGATCAGCCGCCCGCTGTAACTCATTCAGTTGTATGGCTCTTTCTGCATGTCTGTGTCTCAGGCTCACTCAGCCCAGACTTTCCTTTCTTTTTGGTTTGCTTTAGATAATGTATTCTTTATCTGACATGACAGAGGCAACAAAAATATATTTTTTTATTTAATTCTATGAAGGTTAGATGTATAACATGAAATACTCCATTTCTCATTAGAATTTTTCCAGGATCGAACAATGTGAACATATGGTTTTGTTTAAGTTGGGCAAATGTTTAACCTAAACAGCAAGGAAATAAATCAAATTTTAGTGATGTGAAGTATTATGACAATGAAAATGTCAAATCATGTACCAGTAAGTGCCAGAAAAGTGTGAGAATGAGAGAAAGCAAGTGACATGAAAAAGAGAGGGTGTATAACATGCAAAACAGAATTTGTCTTCTAACTCAAGCTGGTTTCAAAAATTTCAATAGAAACGTGACTATAAGAAAACTATAAATGTCATGTTTATTTGTATGACTTGACGTCTCCTTCCTCTCACACTTTCTCCCATATATAGACACAGGTATGTTTGGGAGTGTTCGAGTTCTCCAGATGTGGTGCTGTGTGCAACAGAAGGTCTAATGGGACAGAAAGGAATGTACAGTTGGCTTTGGACATACAGTGGGGCCTCTGTGCTGCTCCACTTTCCCCGACTCTGTAGTGTGTAGATGGAAATATCTGTCTAAGTGTGAGTGTGTGAACTATATCTGCATGTGTACGATTGCATCCACACATACACAATCACACTCTCTCTCACACACACACACACACACACACACACACACACACACAATTCCTCTCTTTCATGTGTATAAAAACACAGACGTGACCCACAGTGACCTGTGAAGGGATTAGACCACAACAGGGTTCTATGGCTGTCAACCTGTCCTCAGCCCCTAATATGCACGTGTGTTTGCGCACACAAGTATAGTGCATAGTACCACGTACACACACACACACACACACACTGAACCCATTGCCCCCTTTCCCTCCTACTCATCTCCCTCCCTCTTGTTGAACCGTCTTCACA